CCCTCTTATTTATCTAGACTAAACAAATCTAGTTCCTCAATAGCATTTAGCATTTTCTTCCAGGGATGTTTCTCAACCCTCAGGACAGTCTTGCTCTGGTCAGCTCTTTCCAGCTTTCTCAAACCGTGGTGACCCAAAGTGGGGGTCAGGCTCCCCATGTCATTCGAGCACTTTGTCTGCAGAAACAGAAGCTTTACAGGCAATAAACCAAATCTGCACACAGACACTTGGGTAGGTTTGTGTCACCTTGCATCTGTTCTGGGCCCCATTTCTGGGCAGGTAGTGGAAATCATTGGATTCTGCTGCTCACCCCACCTGATTTCAGAAAGGCAAACCCCAACTGATTGAATTATCAAGAAAATGCTGCTACTCATTTGAGTTGCAAATTTCTGCTACCTCTTTGCCTGTTTTCACTTCCACAGATTTTGGGACAACTCTTATAGCCTTAACTTCTGTACCAATCTCACCTATTTCAAAGGTTTGGCAGTTCTGTCTGGGAAGAAGTATGACAAATCACATGTTTTGAGGAAAAAGTAAAATTAAAAGCAACAGTCTCCTGAATGCCTTCTGTGCTGTTTCAGCTTTCAGTTTCACAATGAGCTTGCTTAGCTGGTATAAAGGCTGGGTGCCTTTCCCACAGTTGCAGAGGTAACACCATCAGAGAAGTGCTGTAAGTACCATGTCAAGCGTGTAGGTATGATCTTATGAGGAGGCTTATTTGTTTTCCGTCCTGTTCACTGAAGGTCAACAATGTTGTGTCTTGAAGGGCTGAATGAAGCTGCCTGTGGCAAAACTTACAGTCTGTCAAAAGAGTTTACATTTTAAAGTAGCTTGGTACAACACGATGCTTAAAATAACAGATAATAGGGAGTTACACAGCCTGGAAGCTTTCATGTGAGTCTAAATCAGATTTTGCTTCTTTTTGGTACTTTGGTGAGGTGCTGAGGGCTGTGATAGGGAAGGTGTAGCACACATAGAGCTGCATGGCATGGTTCTCGCATTCAGGCTGTCAGGGACAAACAATGGCAGTGCAGCAAAGACAGGCTGTGCTGTCATGGTGGTGCCCTCTGCACCCACCAAAACTCGTACTTATGCGTGGCATTTATAGTAGATAAAGCATTCAGTTTCAATCCTAGCTGCCGTGCTGTTATCAGTCATTGCACCCCACTGGAGAGGAATGGGGAGAAGCTGAAATGAACCTCTTAGTAAAACATGAAAACTGTCTTGCAGGTATGATTTGGAAGAAACTCCAAGTTTTGTTGATACAACCATAACTAACTTTGAACACTTGTGTGTGACATCTCACTGTTCTCAAGCCACTGGAGCTGGAAGAGCACCTAGGAGGCTGTCTTTTGTCTTTAAATTAGAAAAAAAAATTAGAAATGCATATTTTTCTCAGTATATTACTGGCACTCAAATGTAACTGTGTGTCCATTTCCTGTTTTCCAGATAAACACTAATGTGCTAGTTGCATTTTTTCTTAAAAATTGAAGGAGGGCATCATAAAACTAAGCTGTTACTTTGTCACCAAAATATACACAAGGTTTTTATTTTCTGAACATAAATGTGAAGATAAAGGAGATAGGAGATTGTGGTCAAAACCTGGTGAACTTTTGGACTATCTGGTTTAAAAAAAAAAAGTAATCTGATCAGAGAAATTGTTGAATCAGTTTAAGTTTAATCTTGGGCCATGAATCTGGTTTCAGTTCCATTAGTTAGTTCCCTAACTAGTTCCTTTGTTAATTTGATTGGCACCTGAGTTACATTACTGTGAGATCAAAATCAATTTATTTACCTTTGAGAAACAGGATAGTCATTACAGAAAATACAGAATTGTATCTATTAAAACTACTCTATGCTTTGCTTTGAGTACAAGCGAATGTAACAGGTTTCTGCAGGTGTTTCTGAAGGGTTAGCAGAATATTCTTTCTCCCATGCTAACAAGGAATGGACTTAATCATGGTGTGTGGGTCTCCCAGTGCTGCAGGACATTTAATACGCTCAGAAAGGTATCTGTTCTGTGGTGAAAGCCAAGTTTGCTTTTACAGTCAGTACCTATAATGCAGTGAGAGAGAGTTAATAACCATTTCACTAGTGCTGCAGAAACCTTTTGCACCTCTCCAGAGAAGAAGCAACTTTTTCTTCTGTGAGTGGCTGAAGTGTTACCTTTGGAAGTTTTCACTCTTGGGATCCAAATACTTGCTTACATTCATAACCTGTACCACCCAATTCGTCTCCAGAGAAGCAAAAGTAGGTTTGATGAGCTGGATTTGGGTTTGCAATTGTTTCTGGTTTTGTTTAAGATTCGAAGGCTGCAGATGCACACAATACTCAAGGAAAATCATTATCTAATGGTAGCAGTGGGAACTATGAAGTCTTAAGGAAAACCTTAGGAGGGGTCATACACAGACTCCCTAGGGCTGTGCAGGGTTGGCACGGCCAGGTACCTCATCCCATATGTGTGAGGACTCTGCCTCTCCCAGTTCTAAACACGAAGGTCTGCATACTGACACCACTCCTCCTGCTACACCTACAGATCTAGGTAGAAATGATCAGCTTGAGAAAAGAAGTGTTTTCTGTTACCGAAAGTGATTTAGTACAGTGTTTGCTCTATGCTGTAATGCTCTAGTCCATGTACAGAATGTCAGTGTGAGTCTTCACTTGATATTGTTAGCTTGCTTGTGCTTTGTTCAGAGGATGCAAAGACTCAAAGGTCAATGATAGGTGGTTCTGAAAAACCAAGTGGTGACTCTGTCTTCCACAAATCACAGAACAATGGGGATTGGAAGGGGTCTCTGGAGATCTTCTAGTCCAAGCCCCTGCTAAAGCAAGCTCTTCCATCTGAGTTTTTTCACAAGCTCCTTGCTTACCCATGTGGGTCTCCTGCCACTTTTGCCTGATTTCTTACTCTTAGGCAATCTTGAGCTTGGAAAAAGCAGTGCTTAAATGTCAACCAACTCTCCTGTGCCACCAATGCTTTAACCCATGGGATATGTCCAAGTAAGCCCTTGAAAAGATCAAAGTTGGCTCTCCTGAAGCCCATGGCTGCAGTTGTACTTATTACCTCATTTGTAGAGAAGTCACAGTTCATGCCTTTTTAAAGTACTTCCCACATTGTCTTACAGTTTTTTTTTTTCGTTCATTCTTCACCCCTTTCTCTATAAGAATTTCATTTCAACATTATGAAAAAGACTTATTAGTTTATGTTTATAATTTTTTTTTCATATGTTCTTTAATGTAAGACAAAATTTGATTGAATTATTGCTGTGGCTTAGGCAGCAGAGAGGATACAGACATATGGAAGAGGGGAAGAGGCATGCAGAATTTCCAAATCTGTTTATCCACAGTAAGGACCTTTTATTTGTAATTTGGGACTAGAGTAAACAAGCTCTTTTTCAGTGCTCTAAGGACTTTAGGAGATGGCAATGTAAGCAACCAACTGGACAGTAAATTTGTGTGCAGTTTTCACCACTACCAAGGCACATTTCTTCCCAGTAAAGACATTGAGAAATGAGGTTGACTAGCATCTGTAAGAATCAAGTCACTTGGTCTAAATGTCTTATTATTTTCATTTAGGGCTTTGTTTAGGAGGTTTAATACATAGCTCTTGGTTCCCCATTTGGTCTATAAATCTACAGCAAATGCTAGATTTTACTGGCAGTAATTTCATCTAGAAACCTTAGTGTCATTTTTTCCTGATTTACATCAGAAAATATACTCCTGATCCACAGCAGCACAAATGGAGCTCAGCAGTGTTTCTGTACCCCATAAATCAGAGGTGTTCAGGATAACCACGCGTCAGAGCAGAGGCCTGTGCAGCCACACATAGGCTCTGGGTTGCCTTTGAGCCTCTATAGCTCACTCATTAACTGTGCAATCTGGAAAACAAGAGGTGTTAATCCGTGGCTACTAGTCAAAAGTAGCTGAAATGCTGCTGGTCACTGGGCTTTGGTTCCTGTCTGAATATTCCTTAAAAAACCTACTGAGCACATCTGGTAGTCGTGGTCATGGATGGGGAACCTTACCAAGCTCTGTGTCTTCTGCAGGAGGAGTTTTTGTCATCTGTGGCTGGGTAAATTGAAAATTCCCAAATCCTATTGGTTATAGAAAGGGGCTTTCATGTGAATGTGAAAATGTCTATAAATAGTTGTACACACACACGTACATGCATTTACACTTTTTTATATAATTACAGCATACTTTTAATGAGTAAGAATGTGGGCTGCTTAAAAACTGTCTTTATAGATAATTAGTCCCAAAGGTCTTAAACTGGTTAACCATCAAGGCATACTGCAAAAGACCTCTCTTTGGTAAGGGCTTTTTGAAGGAGCTGAATGTACAACCTCTCCGAAGGGAGGAGAGGATGAAAAGAGTTTATGTGCTTGGTTGACATAGCTCTTTTTTGATATGATTATTTTAAAGCTGACAGGTTATTTTTGTCCTTCTAATGATGAATTAAAGCATCCAGACACTTCTGCATGCATCTTGCTGTATTATTGATATAAAAATCAATATATACAAATGCTCTGCTCTTGTTTTTCTTTGAAATCTTGCTAGTTGTTTTTTTTTTAAAAAAAAAAAGATGGATTTTTCAGACAGCACAATGAATCATCAGTGAAGTGAAAACACTGGGCAAATTCTCTTTTGTTTAAGAGAATGGCCTGTACACAGTTCAGGCCAGCACATTTTTCATGGGATGCAAGGGAGCAGTTCAAAGAATTGGCAAGGAGTGGGTCCTGCATATTCATGAGGCTGGGCAAGGAGGTGAAGGTACAGGAGAAGGCAGAAAAGCAATGTGAGGATAGAGTGGAATGCGGAGTGAGTTACCACGGTATCCTATTTTACTGCTGTTTGACGTAAAGCTCCTTTGCTTTTACACAACCATTGGAATTGAATGGAAGCAGTGCAGGGAGTAAATAATGAATGTGTCTTTTACATGCTAACAGAGGAGAATCTGCACCTCATCACAGAGATAATGTACCCCTCTGTTCTCCCCCCAGTCTCCAGCCTACGTTCCAGAAGTCAGTCAAGATCTTATCCAACAGACAGAGGAAAAACTCGAAAACAGTCCCTGCAAAGAGCTATTCTCTCACTGTACAAAGTAAGTATAACTTGATATCCAAAGACCACATGGCTGCAGTCAGCAGCTTGTAAAGACTGTTAGGTAAAGAGAGATTTCGATTTGAAATCAGGGCATGTACCTTCAGCTTACATTCATAATCTTAGAGGCGTACTGACAAGCAGTGAAGTCATTTCATCCCAACAAAATATAATAAATATTTCCATGCCATTATATACACTACACACAAGCACTTAGTGTTTTAGGTATTTGACAGAGCGTTCTAGCCAAGTGAACCAGCCATGGATTTCATGCTGCGTGAAAAGAGCTACAATGCTAATATATCCAAAGAAAACATCTCTGTTTCAAAGTGAATAAAAATTAAGTGGCTATACAGACCATTTAGACAGAGGAATGTGCAAACTTGCTCTGCATAGCTTTTCCAGAAAATCTTCAGCAGCAGAAAGGGGCTTTTTTAAAGCTTTCTGTCTGTCTGTGGAGTTCAAATGAACGTGCATTATTTCATCCTTTGTCTGGGAAAAGGCTTATCAGGTTTTGTAGTGGTGAGGCAATTTGCTCTATTATGTTCTAAAGCTCCAGGTATGCAGTCTGCAGTTGCAAATACTGACCTGAGTATGTTCATAGCAGTGATCGTAAACCAACAGAAATATGAAAAGGAGGGATCATCACAAGCTGGCTCATGTGGTTTCTGGCTGAGCACAGTTTGTTTTCCCTGGATGATGTAATGGGGATTTGTAAAATTCGCTCTGCTGTCATTCATTGTTTTGACTCATTTCATTGACCTTTTCTGTTTCCAGTTATTCTTTGCATTGGTAGGAGATGTGGGTTATTTCTGGCCTTCTCTTATAACATAACTAGTTTACTTGCGTTGGCCCAATGTCCATGTTGAGATGCTAGCATAACTTACACCAGTTGTGTGTGCCAGTCACAATGACAAAGGCAGAGCTGTGCTTGACATAGAAAACCCTGATGTCCGTTTCCATTTCTGAAATCGATTTGAAAGCTGACAGTTTACTGTAAAATGCACTCCGTTGTTGCCAAAGAGGGGAACTAAAAGCAAACAAGTGCTGAAAAGCAGCTATTGTTCTCTGAAATACGTGAAGCTTTTAATTAACTGAATGAAATGGGCTAACATTGAGCTCCACTTCATTCGGGCTCTTATTCACAGACAGCCATCCCTTCTTCTGAAGCAAAACTGATCAATTAGCCAGCTTAGAGACTTTGTACATAAATATGCTGATTGTTTTAAGTGGACTGAAATGAGCTCAGAAGGAAGTCTTAAAAATTCGCTGTTGGCATTTACTAAACGTACAGAATAATGTTAATTTTGGAAGTGCTCACAGCCAGACTGAAAAAGGAAGCATGCACACAAATATGAAACTTAGTCCCATTGGAACAGGAATGGGGATGAATTTCAGACAAGTTGCTTTAGATAAGATCAGTCTGTAGAAGAAATGTGTGTATAGCTTTATGTGCTGTTTCGATCTTCAGTATTTTGACTTTTTTCTCCTGCCTTCCCCCAATTTCCACAATAATTTTCAGTTTGAATTTGAAGTTTTTTTTAAAGCTTATTAAGGCTAGGTGATCTTTTTATTTGTAAGCTTGAATTTTCATAAAAAATTCAAATAGCTGAGAAATTCCAAAAACGGAGGAATAGTGGTTCATAAATGGAAGGGATCTGAGCTGCATTATTCTTCCTGGATTGTTTGCTCATGTCTAGAACCACTCGAGGAAGAGCCGGTTGATTAATTTGCAAACCAGAGTAGTTCTTCAGAGAGGATTTCATCCTCCAGCAAAAGCTAAGAAGTGTCTACATACACTTATGTACCGGCACCACTGACAGCAGAGGCAGATGCAGTAGCCTCAGTAATCCAAGAACCAAAACCAAAATCCTCCAGTGAACAGCATGACAGCCTCCATCTCAGCAGCTCTCTCAGCTCAGCCCGAGTTTTCTTAGCTCTAAACCTTTGGCCTTCCTTAGGGAATGTCTGTTGGTCTTTGGCTGCTTGTTGCCTGTCGTAAGTAACGTTTTTATCGGTAACATTTGCAGATTGTCCTTTCCATGAAGACTTTGCTGTCATAATGTGAGGACCCAATTCTTATTATTGATCCAGAAACATATTCAGATCCCTATTCAGACTCTCTTTCCTCCATTTTATTCTATGAGGCGCATTGCTACTAGGAAAAAGCTTTTGACTTCAATCAGTTACCAGTTCTTCTGTATAACAGGAGTTGAGACAGATTTTATTTTTTGCTCAAAATAATGCCCCTAATGTTCTCTTTTGAACAAAAATGGGTTTCATCAGAAATTTTTAACCCAGATCCATCTCCCAAAGTTTAGGAGCTCTTCTGCTGTGGGTGTTGTATTAAGATGGTCTTAGTTTACTATGAAAAGCAAATATACTTGTTTATGTCTAAAAGCCTTTGTAAAAATCCATTTAAGCCAGTGGGAGAATCCTTGTTAATTTTCAGCAAGCATAACAAGTACATATTACTTACTAGGCAGCTGGTAGTAGGTCTTCTGTAATGAAACACAATAAGCATATCAATTTGTTCCTAGGTTGAAACCATGAGTAAAATAAAGTAGTAATTAAGTAGACGTCAAATGTCCTTATCGTTCAAGAAGTCCGGATTTTCTCCTCTTGTTTCATTTCTCTTTTGCTCCAAGTTCAGGATTTTAAAATGTTTATATATCCTTTTCATCTGAGATAGATCTGTCCTTGACCACCTCAGTGGGGAACCATTCCAAGAATACCTGAACAGCATGTACTTTGACAGGTTTCTCCAGTGGAAGTGGTTGGAAAGGTAAGTGTCACAATTTATTTTTTCAAATAAAAACGAATACAAAATATTTATTTCAGTTTCCATGGAAAGCCTGTGGAATATAATCTCAATCTAACAGCTGACGTGGTACTGGTTTGCTCCTTTTGCTTTTGAGGTAAATAGTTTGGCCTTCCTTCAGCATTACTAGTGTCTCCTCCCAATATCTGCCATTTATGGCCTTCTCTGTGCAGCAATTCTCTACTTCTTTCCACTGTTGTCATTTGAAAAGATTCATCAAGGCTCATTCCCCCTCTCCCTGAGCTGTACTCCAGGGAAATTATCCCAGAGAGGTCCAGGAAGGCTTTTCTAATTTTAGCATTTGCTTGCAGCTGTTCATTATTAGAAGGTTTAAGACGAAGTAATGGTTTAGCCACAGGAAGATGCCACATAGAAAAGTTATTGTTATGCTGGCTTTGGATTCAATTTAAACACAAACTGTGTCTCAAGATGTGATCATCCAACAAGCACAACTTGTGACTGGGTTATGTATAATCCTTGATCCTTGAGGTCCCTTCCAACCCTAGCCATTCTATGATTCTGTGATTCTCCTGGAAGCAGCTTGGGCACTTTCTTTGCTCAGCATGCTCGTGCATGCCCAGTGAATAGGACAAAACTTGTAGCCCATAAAAAATAGGAATCCAAACCTCCTCAGTGATCCAAAAAACCTCTGTCAATTTCATTGTGGGCCCTGTCAGAGCGAGCTATTTGTTGCACAGCAAAAGGGCACACTGCGCTTGTTTATGCCCTACCTTCATGCATCTATACTGCTAAATGTAAGCTACACATCCAATCTCTGGCTTTTACATTTGCAAACGCTGTGCCCAAGAAAGACTGAAACAGATGCTGCTTGCTTAGGGAAGCAAATAATAAAAGAGAAATCCCTCCCAGAACACCAGGGAGGCTGTTTTGGCTTCTAAAGCTACAGTGTTCTGCCATTTAATGGTATTAAGTATGATAGGCATATTAGGTATGTTTAAAATGCGTTCAACATTTGTTGTCTTTCTGCTTAGCAGAATATGGTGACTATTTGTCTAAACCAGTTATCGCAATTATGAAAACGCTGTAAAACAGACAAAAAAAGCAGCATGTAGGTCCTCGCACCATATTTATTGGCTGGACCTCTAAGGACACATTTAATAACCAAGCAGCCTTAGTGGGTATTTATTTGCAGGGAAGGGACCTTTGCCTCTTCCATGCTGGAGAGTGCAGGAGAGTACCCAGCAGATGAACACTGCTGGCTAACAGTGACCTTGAGTGGAGAGGCACCAGTTTCCACAAATGGCATTAATTACGGCAGATCAGTTAGGGCCAGACCCTTGAGTGGTGTGTATAAGCGTAAGAGCTCAGGGATTAAAGGAGCTGTGCCAGTAACTCTCTCTGGAAAGTTACAAAGCTGCTGCACAAGAGGGAAGGGAAGTGGTGGGCAGAGGGGAGAGCTGTTTCATGCCAAGACATGCTCCACATGCCATCTCGACTAAATCCAGAATTTACCCTTCCATTTCAGTTGAAAAACATCAGATGATTCATCTCTAGCCATGCTATTTCCTAGCCATTTTCTCATTTAAGATAAGGAATTTTCTCAAATACTTTGAGGATTTTTTTTTTTCCATTATCCCAACAAATGTGAGAAGCTACTGGCCGCGCCTATCCAGCTTAAGAAGCCGGGAGAACTGTTTTTTTTAGGATTAGCCAAGAGATATTAGCGATTGGAATCTGCTGGCTCAAACAGAGAGTCACACAGTCCATTTACTCCAGGGACATTGCTGAGCACGTAGTTATCACTGCTAATTGTTGCTTTTAACCCCAATAGCATTCTCAGCATTTTCTTAGAAGCCTGAAAATAGCATCTTCTAGTTTTGGCCATTTGCATGCTTTTCTTCACCTACTTATAAAAAACAATAGCAAACATAAATGAAACAATTTGCTTTAATGTTTATTCTTTATTGTCATCAACCCCATCACTGCGCTGCTAGAACAGCCACGTTATTGTGCTCCCTCTGCCGGCTGGCTGCCCGCCAAAGGAAAACAACTCTCCTATGCGGTTCTGATGAATGTTCATATTGATTGCCAGTGTAATTTTAAAATTTCAGTGATAGACTGGTGGACACAAAATCAGATGTCTCAGAATCCAGAGTACTTTCTCTGTCACACTGTAGAACTGCGATGATAGCCAGTGTGGTGGAAGTAAGATTTAGGGCTGCAGCCCTTTAGGAAGAGCAGAATTCTGTGGGAATCCTGTAAGATCTTGTGGTGGCTGTGTTTGTACAATTACATAGATACTTATTTAACCCTTAATTTGGCCTTTAAATTGCTACTGAATATACACACAATTTAACTCACTAGAGGGAGAAGAAAAAAAAGAAGAGTCTGCTAATTTGCTTAAAAATGGAACCAGGAGACTGTCTTGTCAGGTGAATGGTCTCAGCTAATCTGTTTCACATGCCCCCCAAAGGAAAGAGTTGCTTTTCCTCCTTTTTTGCCCAGTGCTGTGGTCCCAAGAGGCAGGTAATTCCGGTTGGGCCGGAAGGGCTCCCAGCCCTGCTTCCTGCTCCTACCCCTCCTGTGAATGGGATCTGAATCCTCCATTCCAGCTCCCGGGATTGTTTTTTGCTTGTTTCATATTGATTTCCTGTTTTGCTTAAGGTCAAGAAAACATAAGTATTTTCATAGTGATTGAATCTTGGATCTCATTTTCTCAACTTGAAGAACGAGCAAAGCAATTAGATGTTAGCTCAGCATTACCCTTAAAAAAACATACCATGAGATGATCTGCAGGATTCATGTGTTGTTGCAAGCTCTCATGCCTCGTGTCTGCTTAACGAAGGCCAAAGCTATATAATGGAGATTCAGAACCCTCTTCAGTCCTAAGATGCTAGCTGAAATTATACTGATGACTCACTAATGTGTTGTATTTTATTACAGCTTAATATGTTGGAATTGAAAAGTTCAAGCCATACATAGCATTGAAGTAATGTAATTACATAATTATATATTATATTATACTATATAATTACCTCAAAATAATTTGATTATATAATATTTATCTATTTTGCTTTTCAAAAGTATGCCCTGAAATAAATAAATCACAGAGAGTGCATTAAATGTAGTGTGTCTTTTTTTTTTTCCTTTTCTTCCAGGCAACCAGTAACGAAAAACACGTTTAGGCAGTACAGGGTGCTAGGGAAAGGCGGCTTTGGGGAGGTGAGTGGTTCTGAAAGTTTCTGCTCTGAGTGTTTGTTGCTTCTCAGGAACTGCAGTTATAGTATCTAAATGAGACAGAGGCTGATTTTCATTAATTGCTGATAGTTTTGGTTAACCTCTCTGACACAGCAATCTCAAAAGAACACTCTTGAAAATTATTTTGTATTTGACTGTTGCATTCACATTAGAATTAGCGTCACGCCCTTATTTGTATTTTACTAAAGGCTTGTGGTCACTGCCTAGGCAGCAGAGTCTAAGGAGGCCAAGGCAGGCCTTTGCTGAGCAGATTACCATCTACACAGACAAAAGGAGGTGGGATAGGAAGCAGGCGGAGGAAAGTGAAATAATTAAACCAATATTGCACAGCATGTTTGGAAACAGCAGTCAGCTCCCCAGCTGCCCCCACCTAAGCTTTATTCTCTGCACCACTGTTTCTAACCTTAAAAGGACTAAATCAGATCAGATCAGTTGTGAGGAGAAAAGTGCAACCCAGAAGAAGTGTTATCTTTAACTTACCCAGCAACTGTTCTCTTTAATTCTCAGGTCTGCGCTTGCCAGGTTCGAGCAACAGGGAAGATGTACGCCTGCAAAAGATTAGAGAAGAAAAGAATAAAAAAGAGGAAAGGAGAATCCATGGCACTAAATGAAAAGCAGATTTTAGAAAAAGTCAATAGTCAGTTTGTAGTGAGTATTGAACTCTCTCTAGCATGGCTCTGTGCTCACCTGCTGAGCACAGTCTCTTGTTGAATCCGATGCCTCTTCCAACTCCTCGTACAGAAAAGGTGCTGTTTTCTGTAGGAAGCCCATCCTTCCACATTTCACCATGCACACTTCCAGAGTCTCACTTTTATCTGTGATCTGTGGGAAATGCACCAAACGATGTGTGTTTTCTCTACCACGTAATGCTCTTTTCAGCCTTGACTTGCATCAGGCTGAGCTATTTTTGTCCTGTGTGATTACCTGAATTCCCAGGTAATTCAGGTAATGAGAGAGGAGCTTGCAAGAGACTTAAGGAGATTCAACCCAAGTCCATCAGAAGAGACTGGCTAGTAGCAGCACCCAGCCAGTGACATGGAGCAGGTCAGCCTGACTCGAGGCTTTCCTGAAGTTCGGCCAGTTCTTGTGTCTAAATACTTGCCTTGGATAAAAGAACTGCTGTTCTCTCAGCATCTGTTGTGTTCTTTTTACTTATTTTAGGAAACACTGTGAATACAACAGATGGAAAGGTAATCATGTTTGCTTACCTCTGGCAGAAGCAAAGACAATGGCACATATTTAAAAGGGATGTGTAGATTTTGGCTTGTTTGATCATTGCTGGGGCACCGCCAAAGCCGCACAGGGGTGATGGGGACCTTCCTGCCTCAGTTCGGCCACCGTGGGACTGGGCCTTCCTGGGAACTTACTGTGTTTGTTTGACAGCTATCCAGCAAAACAGTGCAGCTGGAGCTGGAGCTTCCCTTGACTGTTAAGATTTCTGTTACTTTGAAGAATCTGAGCATTAAACTTGGGGGTTTCTGGTGATGAGTTGGCTGGATTCAACAGATTAATTCATGAAGTCCTAACAGCTAATTTTTCTATACTTTTAAAGTCTGTGTTTTGTTACTACAATAAGGTCCATATCAATTTCAGGAAGCACTTTTTTTTTCTTATTCTAGTGAAAATTGTTAATGAAAAGTTAGTGATTTCTTCTTAGCAGACAAATGAACTGTCACAGCTATCTTACAAATGTTTTTTTCTAGGTCAATTTAGCCTATGCCTATGAAACAAAGGATGCACTATGTTTAGTTCTGACCATAATGAATGGAGGTGATCTCAAGTTTCATATCTACAACATGGGAAACCCAGGTTTTGAGGAGGAAAGAGCTTTGTTTTATGCTGCAGAGATTCTTTGTGGTTTAGAAGATCTTCACAGAGAAAACACAGTATACAGGTGAGCATTTTTTTGTAGTCTTAGGAAGACTTTCCCAGGGAGAAAAGAACTGTGCATTCCCCTCTACCCATTGTAGTGCAATAGAGAAAAGGTACCCCAGTGCTTTGATGACACTTCTCAGAGCCATTTACAAATACAATAATAGTGAATCCAGTAATAGTGAAAGCAAGCAGTTCCTTCACCGAACATATCATGTCTAAATTACACAGATCTAACACAGAACTCCCCAAATCCTACATCAGCATCCACTGAGACCAAACAAAATTAGGGAAATTCTTTTAAAATGATTGAATTAAGGAATCGAGTTTCTAGTTGATATGAGATGGAGTTTATTCTGTTCAAGTCTCTGTTTTAATCAGTTAGATTATGTTGCATAAGAGCTGTGGTGCATCAGATAGGGAAAAAAACACCTTTCCTAAAATGGAGCATCTTAGGACATTTTAGGGTGAAGGGTGACTTCAGAGAGAGTTCTTGTGGCTCCACAGGGATGGTTTTCTTCAGTAAACAGTCAGCATAGTTGTAAACACCATTTAATGTCTGTATTTGCTATCCTAGCTTGTGAAATCATTAAAGCCATCATTCACAGCAGAAGAGGTACTGTAAATTGATGAGAGCATCCAAGGGCAACGATTAATAGATAATAGTATGGGTTTTGATTTTTTTTGAAAAACAAAGCCACGCTTCAAATCATTGATATGCTGATGTATAATAAGCACTGTGCATATGCTTGTATATGGAGAAATTAGAATATTGTTCTTTGGAGGATTTCTCTGAGAAGTTGCCACTCTGTTGCCTTGTTGTGACTCAGATTTTGCTATCTCGCATTAGGAGAGCAGGCATCGATAATACACTGATCTGCATGGCACTGTCCCAGAAGATTTTTTCAAGGACAAACAATGGAATTAAGTGTTTAAAGTCAATTGAAAAAAAAACAGATCTTAACTGATGTGTCTGGCCTTCTTTTTCTTTAAAATATACCCTACACATTCAGAAAAGTTTTTAGGAAGTGCTATAGTTTTTCTTTAAGAAAAAAAACAAACAACCCTTAAATCACATAGCATAAGATTTCATCGTACTGATGAAAAGGACAGATAAATTCATAATGTGGCTGGTAAAATGCCATGCTAATGCCACTTTCTAATAAACAAAGTTATATGTGGTCTACTAAAATACTATGGGCTTTGAGAGAAATGGCATCCTACCTCCTTAAGCAGTTGTTTCACATTATTCTTAAAAGAGCTGCTAGTTCACAGTTTGGATGGGACATTCATTTTGGTGATTAATGATAGGTATCTTTGTAGGTGGCATTTTCTGGTAGCATTTCAGAAGCATCCGCAGAGACCCCTAATTTGTAATCCTACAAAGTGTTTTGGGACCTGTGAGAAGTGCTATACAGGTCAAAAAAAAATTAGCAACTACATGCTACAGCTTTCTCAAGGTGAATAATTCATAGCAAAACTTATTCCTCAGACTTAATTTCATTTTCTGTGAACAAAATGCTTCTGAGTAAATCACAGCATTCCAAAATAACCTTCCCATCTCCCGGACCAGTGACACACGCTGTGGATGTGACCCGAGAGAACAACCAGGCCCTGTTTCAGGATCAGTGTCAGATGAAAAATCAGAATTCCCTTGCCAAATGAGGAGCTTACGTTACATTTGTAAACTGCATCATGTTAGTAAAGGTCAATGGGTTGACTTTTCATGGAAAGCAGACAAGAAAACCTTCTGGTTCTCCTCGAATTATTTATATATAACTACATATATTATAGCAGTGCCTGCAAGTTCCAATCTGCATCAAGATCACTCTGTCCTAGCATTACACAAATATACAGCAAAGCCTTGTCCACCATGATTAATTGTAGTGTTTATGCTGTCCCGCAGAGCAGAACAACGTACCACAGCCTTTCCGCGTGGGCGCAGTGCCAGCAGTTTGTGTTCCAGCATGTTTAGGCAAGGCGAGCTTAGGTTTCTGAAGCTGCACCATTGGGAAGTATCCTTACATGTAACACATAGCACGGAGGAGTTTGAATTCTAGACATTTCAGTACAAAAATCACATTCCTCCTTGACGCTTTCAAGAGTTAGCTGTGCTAAAGGAGCTGTCCCTGATCCTGAAGCAATGGAGATCTGAAAACAGAAATGATAACTGATGTCTTCAGGAAAGGAAGGACTGCCTTAATTGCCCTAAATCACAAAGGACTATAAAAGCTGCACTGCTGTTCTCAGTCTTCATGGAGTCTCTCATTTTCTCAATCAAAGAAAACATATTTTCATAACTAGCATGCAACATTCTTTTCATTTAGCTACAGCTTTAGATGGGACTAATAACGGCTGGAGCAGAAGATGACGTAACTATGAAGTCTAAGTTCTTCAAGAAGACTGTTCTGAAGGGTTTCAGAATACATTTCAGAAAGTAACCGCGAAATGCCCTTGTCCGTGTTGCTTCAGAACTGGAATACTGCTGATAGGCAGGGAAAGCCCACAGCAATATGGTAAAGAAAATCACAGATTCTCCTCTGAATTCAGTTGCCCTTCACATATTTCAGAATAGTTTACTTGGCAAGTAAGCTTGGTACCGTTGAGCACCCAGTGGAATTCATCTTGAGAGGTCAAGAAGGTCTGAAGCTAGCAAGAAGAGGAAACTGTTCACAGTATTCTATGTTCTTGCTTGAAAAAATAAATAAAAACAAGATCAGTTTTGAGATGCCACTGTCAGCATTGTCAAAACTATTGAACACCACTCTCCATCAGAGGAAAACTCAAGGCACTGAAGCAGCACAGTTCAAAAGGCAGGGAGGACTCCTGCCCAGGCTCTCGTGTTGTGCGGATTTCTTCTGCTCCTTGAAAAGGACTGTGTCTTGCTGGGAAGCTAAGAGAATCAAGCTGCTTCACAAGTGCAAGGAGGCCTTAAAAAAAAAAAAAAAAAAGAGACCAAACACTTCTTGGATTTGGACCAGACTAACACTGAGAGGAGGCAAACGTGTAAAAGACTGGACATAAAGCTGTAAGCTGCAGCAATATGTTTCTCCTTGATTTACCCAGACGTGCCGATGCCTTCTTCAGGCTCCCCCAGTTCCCAGCTGTGCTTCAGCCCTGCCATGCCTGGATCGGGGAGCAGCTGCTGGATTCCTACTTCAAAAGTGGCCCCTTGCTTCCAGGAGTGGCAGAGATAGAGCATTACTGGCATGGACAGTGTCTAGAAGTAGCACCAGGTGGAATGGGCTTGATTCAGGCAAACCCTTTGGAAGAATGACTGCCAAGGCTCTGCTACATATATGAAAATAGAGGGTTTTTTTCAGAAGTTCTTAACTTGGCTGCATTTGGGATTTTTTTTTTCCAGCAGGAGCAGTAAAAGGCACATCTTTGACATCAGACTGACCACCTTGCCAGTCTTCATGGCGCTGCTCCAAACCACAAAGGCACCAGAGTTTCACAAATGTTTGCAAGAAGAATTTTGATCTGGGCACAGTGCTCCCCTCTGCCCCTCATTTTCCAAAGTGGCTCAAACTATCACACCTGTGCACAAGTGTGTGTACATTCACGTAGTTGGCCTGAGTCAGATGCCAGGCACAGAAAATTTAGCCCAACAAATCACTTTTTCCATTTTCTTGAGCAAATAAAGTATTTCAGAATTGTTAATGTTTTTAACAAAAAGATTTTATAAAAGGATTTGTTAGAGATTTAACACCACACAGGACTATAAGGCTTGGTTTACAGGCTTTTCTGGTCTAGATGGATGTCTCCATTATACTGGATTGCAAAATAAAGCCTGGCTTAGTGGAAAAATGTAACTCCAGCTTGGAAAAAGACATATGGTTTCAGTCTCTCTGTGAAATGAGTTGAGGAAAGTTGTATTGGTTTCATGAGTTCCTTACTGTTTGAGTTGACACTCAATTGGTTTATTACTAGTCATAAATGCACTCACACGCTGTTGTATGCTTATGTTATCAAAACCAGCTTCATCCAAATAACTGCTATCTTTCATTTCCAGAGATTTGAAGCCAGAAAATATCCTGCTAGATGATTATGGTAAGTATCAGAGGTTTACAACAATTCTTCCACAAGATTATTTTGTAAAATAGATTAAGTTAGTTTCAGGATACGTATTGCACAGAGATAAATAATGCTCTGAAGTAAATAAGAGGCTCAGCATATTCTAATACTGCATATTGGGGTGGGCAGAATGCTAGGGCTCATGCTGTACAGCAGGGTGTGTTCTAGGGAATGTGACTTTGCTGGTAGTGCCTGCCTTTTTTCCATTGTTTTTCCATCCTTATTGTTACAAGGCTAACATAACACAAACAACACTGTCATTTCTAAATCTGTGCTCCCCACTCCATTTCAAAAGTACTTTCATCCTTTACTGAGTCAACTCTCATTTTACACAAAGCCAGGTGCTCATTTGTTGCTGAGGGCAGTGATAATCAGATCTTATGCTGAATTATAGACCAGATGTAGCCCCTTCAGCCATCAAAGAGTTTCAGAACTATGTCAGCCCATCCATCCACTGTGATCAGTTCAAGATACTTCCCTGCAGTGTGCTACCCATTGTCTTTTTCTGGTTTGTTTTAAAGTATATAACGCAATCCACTCTAGTCCATAGCCTCACTGTTAAACTTTCGCTGCATTATATCACACTCAGTAATTCCTTTATTTATCAGTGAAACTGCTCCAATTCTTGTGTGTTCATTTCCTGAACAGTAAATTGCAAGAGTATTGTAATGACAGCAGTTGTGTTTTTGAGCTAATTTGGAGTCATATTATTATATCTGCTTTTGTGTTGTTTTGTTTTTCCCTTACAGGCCATATTAGAATATCGGATTTGGGTCTAGCTGTTAAAATCCCTGAGGGTGAATCGATCCGTGGAAGGGTAGGAACAGTAGGGTATATGGGTAAGTCTTCAGCAGCTCATCTTCTTGACATTTCACTAAGATTACCTGAGCTTTGTAGGCTTAAGAAAAAGAATTTTAAAACACTGCACTCCGCTGAGTCCAGTTCTGTGCAGCAAGCCTCCAAAAAGTATTCAGAGGAAATCAGGAGTCGGGAAAAGGCTGGAGCACAGCTGCTCTTAAAGAGACTGGTCTGTATTCCTAAACCAGCAAGGAAAATAAAAAGAGCATACAACAGAATTAGGGATTCTAATGCTTTTAGCATAGATTTATTTTAGTGGTGTTATGTGCTTAAAAGAAAGAAATGTTTTTTTCTCATTGCTACTTTGCATAGTAGTTAAATGTGTATGTTTATGATTCATGCATCTGTTTGGCTGTTTGGACATGGGAAGCCACACAAAAGAAGAGTAAAGATTTGTACATTGATTTAAAAAAATAATAATAATAACACTCTCCCTAATTGAACTCGATCTGTTTTTGGAAATGAATGTAATTGTTTTCATGCATTCTGTGGGTGAGCATACTTTGTGGAATAAAATTTGCGTACATTTATTCGACGAAATAGAAACTAACTGATATGAGTCACAGTTATATCAGTACTTTAATGAAAGCAAGCATATCAGCTGTCATTTCTAAGTTTTGTTATCTCTGTGTGAGTCTGTGCACACACTAAGACTCTGCCTCTGTCTGTTTGTAACTATGTACAGAAGGTGAGGATGTCTGCAAAGAATTGACTGTATGCCCAAGACACATTGAATGTTTGCAACACAAAAGAAATGTATTTGTTTTTAAAAGGAGGGAACCATAAGTTATAAATTGAGTGAAAAGACAGAATTTGCTTTTGGGTAAATGTCAGTGTTATTTACAGGATGTGTACTTGTGTGTCATTTCTTTCTTAAATGGATAAGCCTGGAAGCACTCTTAAGATTCACCCACCCTCCCTTTATTTTTTAAATTGGTTTGGCTTGGTAGAAAACTCAGAAGAGAGTGTGAACATGGCAAGTGGTATGACATGTTGAGCAAAAAACTGGTGTGTAACATGCTGCATTTTCTGTAATTCAGTCACTAGAAATCATGAGGTATTTTAATATTCTACCTACTGTTCTCTCTTCCTGCCAATATCAAACATTGTCATAAGAGACACCTTCTCTTCCACAGCCCCGGAAGTGTTGAACAACCAGAGATACACACTCAGCCCTGACTACTGGGGACTGGGCTGTCTCATTTATGAGATGATTGCTGGGCAATCACCATTTCGTGGAAGGAAAGAGAAGGTGAAGAGAGAAGAAGTGGACAGAAGAGTTCTGGAGGCTGAGGAGGTGTACTCCCATAAGTTTTCTGAGGAGGCCAAGTCCATCTGTAAAATGGTAAGGGGCTTAAAGGCACAGCGTGGCAGCTTCGTGTATCTGACAGAGTCTCAGAGGTGATGTGGTACTATAGAGAGCCTGCAGAGAAAGCAGTAATCAAGCTCATCTGTTGATGGGATGACTGCATTCTTTATTCATTCAAATTGCGTTTATTTGGGACTTCTCCATGAGATTCATCACGGTCATTTTGAGTCCTCCCCGAAGTTTTATGGCCAAGGGAGCGGTATTTATTCCCATGAGACTTTGAACGTTAGTTTGTAGTCAAGAATGCTTTTCTGTGTTTTATAATATCGCAGAAAAAAATAAAAAGGACTTGATGATGCAAGACTTTCAGTGTCTTCTGCAAGGAACTGAAAACCCCATGCTTCCATTGTGTTTGGTGGGAGCTGGGGGTAAGCAGGACAAAGATTATGCAATGAAATTATTGTGACACTCATATGTCCCACCCCATCTCACTCACTTTGTTAGCAGCTTTTCCCCAGGGTGCCAAAGCATCCAGCTTTTTTTAATACTGTTGAGCTGTCCTTTAAAATGTTTTCTCACCCTTTCAGCTGGGAGTCATTTTCATAGCACAATAGCCATGTCTGACAATGGAAATCCTCAAACCCTCTGAGAAATCTCAAAGCTGCGTCTGAATTTATCAATGTCTTGTCGACATCCATCTTTAGAAGGCTGAATTGTAACTTGGAAAGGGATGTGGCCTTTTTCTTGATTTGTTTGTTAAAGAGTGAAGTCTCCTTTGGAGACAGTGACATATCTATGTAAACTGGTAGAGAAAGAATGAAGGGAAAGAAAGATCAACAAATAGGTAGTGAGTGTTGCAGCAATATCTTGTGCAACAGGCAGGCAAACAACATATCAACAACATTCTGGTTGTCTGGCTTCATGAAAAGACACTGAATTCTCCCTGCAAAGTAATAATGGTAGCACTGCCAAGTATTATGTGCCTGGAAGTCATTAACTCACAGTGCACCAACACATTGCTGAATCCCCAGGATAGCAATTAACTGACATCACTCTTGATAGATACTTCAGGCCTTACGCTGCCCTTAAACCACAATTCAGAGCCTCCAGTGAAGTTAGAGTGAAAGGATTTAGGACAGCACAGGATCATACAGACCATTTCATGCGCTCGAAAAGTCTGCCATCTTTTCCTTAGAAGCATCTCAGCTCATACTAGGTGAAGAACAGTCTGCTGGAGTGGCAGAGTTTGTGCATTTCCATGTAATTAGCATGAAATGAAAATGCCATGAAGAAAAAAAATGATACTCTCATTTCTTGTTTTGTAGGTAATTTCAGGTATGAAGCATAACAGAATAAAAAAATATTTTGCAGAGAAATGATGAAGTTGGTAAGAACTTCTATGGTGAGAATTCAATGTAGCATTGACAGGAAGGTGCTGAAAATTACTTACTGCTCCCAGGGGAACAGACGATGAGAGTCAATATGTTGTGGTGGTCATTTTCATCTTCAGGCCGTAGAACAAACCCATGGCTTCAGGGAACCTCAAAAAATCTTCTATTTCATTCCCTTGCCTCAGGCAGGCATGAACTGTATGTAAATCACTCCTGACATCTTGGTCATTACTGCTTCCGCTGTCCAATCCCGTTGTGTTTCTTTAGGTAGTTTGTGCAAACTCTTAACTGGACGAAAGACAATGCTGTTCTTTGTGAATATTAATGGATTACAATTGCTGTGCCTTAAGAGTGGGAGTCTTACTTCTGATACTAAGCATGATGGAACTTGAGGTTTTCCACCCAAAAGTCATTTTGTTCAAGTGATTCTTAAACAATGCATGATTCAAATATATTTTCTCAAATTGTTTTTGCTCTTTGTATTGAAAACCAGAACTTCGTTGCTTTGTATCTGCAACTTATCAAAGAAACAAAAAAGCCATAATTAAGCTTCCATTATACCAGCAAAGCGAAGTGTAAAGTTGTAGTACAAAAATCCAACTTAGGATGTCACACAGATCCAAAGTGGAAGGCCTTCTTCTTTTTCAGGCCAAGAGTGAGGAACATGTCTCCACCATGTCCACCATGTCTCCAGACCTTCTCTTCAGACCTTACTCTACGGTCTGATAGCATTACCATCAGGAAATATATTGTCTTTATTCATTCACTCATGAAAACCCTCTGGTGTCACCTCATGTCAACCTTCCCCTCCTGGATGCTTATGCCCTTTACATTTTTGCAGGCATATATCATAGCTTCCATTAATCATTATCCATCCAATATTTCCATATTACATTTTCTAAGTCATTTCCCATAAATCAGCCCTCATTTTGGACTGAAACAGAGATGAATAATAAATAATTAGGAACAGGGGCAGCTGTCTTTCTGGGAAGCTCCCCAACCCATAGTTCCCATATAACATAACAGCTTCATGTTTTGTTTTGTTGGTTTTTTTCCTCTGAAAAAATCCAGTCTTTCTAGGAAATGCTCCCTGGTTTTCATTGTTGTGACTTGTACTTCACTGATGTACATGCATGTTTCCCCTGACAAGTGCAGTCTTGTATCCAAGGATGTGACTTGAAGCGCATACAAGTCAACAGTATTGGATGGTCCTTACTGGTCTGCCTTTCTCACTCTGACAGTGTCCTGTTTGTCTGCATTTCCTGCAGACTAGCTTTTCTCTTATTTCTTATTCCTATAGCTCCCATTTTAGTCCACAAAAGGGATCCTGACTGGAAGGTGCAAAGAGAACAGAGCCAGACTGTTCTCAGTGGTGCCCAGTGACAGGAGGAGAGATGGTGGGCACAAACTGAAACACAGGAGGCTTCCTCTGAACATCAAGAAATGCTTTATCCCTGTGAAGGTAGTCAGACTCTGGGACAGGTTGCCAAAATGGGCTGTGGAGTTTTCAAACTTGAGGACAACCAACACTGAGCGGGGCCTTGCACCTGATCATAGCAACTCTGAGAAGAACCAGAGTTGGACTAGACACCAGCCAGAGGTCCCTTCCAAACCTCAGCAGTTTTGTAATTGTTTCCTTCCTGAAGTGCCTCCCCAGATAAATGAAAGACGATGGTTTCTTTTCTTCATAAAAGCAATCTCTTCTATCCTTCACACACCACCAGAAACACTATTATCTTTCTACAACTACTACAGGCTGCTTTCATCCCTCCTCTCTGTTTTTGTCCCTGGAAGCCAACTTATCCACACATTTTTACACTTTAAAGCTTATTAGTATTGCCTGAGAATAATTCTTGGCAGAATAACTCACTCTTCAAATGATTATTATTGCTGTTGCAAAAGATGATAGCAATGATTAATAAATCTTCTATTGTAAGCCTTTGCAATAAGCTTTACTATCACTCATGCATAAGGGAGATTTGTTTCTTCTGCTTTGGGCTACACTGGGCTATGATTCTCCTTGGCCTCCTTTTGTTGTTAATGCATTTGTAAAAACACCTTTTGTTATCTTTTGCAATGATGGCCAGATTAAGTTCTGATTTTCTCACTGCACATCCTAGCAACATCCCTGTACTCCTCTCAAGTTCCCTGCTCCTTCTTCCAAAGGTGGTAAATTCTTTTTCCCCCAGTTTCTGTGAAAGCTCCCTGTTCAGTCAGGCTGGTCTTCTTCCACACTGGTTCATTTTAGCACACATGGGGACGGCCTGCTCCTGCACCCTTTAGAGTCCCTTCTTCAGGAATCTTCCTGGACACTTTTGCCCTTCAGGACCATCTCCTGTGGGACCCTCCAAACCAATTTCCCTAACAGCCCAAAGTCTGCCTTCTGGAAGGTCAAAGTAACAGTTTTGCTGACCCCCCTCCTGACCTCACCAAGAATAGACAGCTCTATCATTTTGTGGGTGCTATGCCCAAGAGCGCTTCTGACCACTGTCTCCCACCAGTCCTTCTCTGCAAACAGCAGGTCTAGAGAGCCTCCCCTGCTAGGCTCTCTTATTAGCTGTGTCAGGAAATTATCTTCCACGTGCTCCAGAAACCTCCTAGACTGTTTCCTCCCCAGGCCCCATGGAGGCAGCAGACTTCCCTATGGGAAGGATCAGGTCTGCAAATTGGGCCTTCTGTTCCCCTCTAAAAGGGAGTGTCCTATGAACAAAATAAAGTCCTGGAAAAAGTCCCAGACATTGCATAGCTTGAATCCCCAGATGGGATCAAATTTTGATACTTTTACATCACTCGTATCAGAAATCTTTACATCATGAAAAAGAACTTTAACGTAATTTCACCAAAGCTACTCAGGACTTTTCTTTGAAAGACCTATTCTAGTCAAGCTTTGTCTGAAGGCTAGACTAAATCCTTACTTATATATATCCAGTACCATCTGGAGCCTTTATTACCAGGATATAAAGCTCTGCCGCTTGGTATCAACTTCATGCATGATTGGATGACCTAAGCCATCTTCAAATCTGCAGCACAGTTGAATTCTCCATAGGCTCTGGCTGTAAAATTAGATGGAAACTGTGTATGATTGGATCACTGCATTACCATCCTAGGAGGGCTTATCATCAGACTGATGTAGTTGCTTTTATTCTGCTCTCTTCATTTTAAATACATACTTTGAAAAGGAATTAAAAAAATAAAAAGCACAAAAACCTGTAGAGATGACTCAAAATGTGTGTCATCTCCATTTTCTTTTCCTGGAGAGATTCCCAAATGGAATGCACATTTCAGGCTCACACGCATGTTTACAATTACAGAATTCTTCTGGAGCTGCAGGAAATGTTACAAGACTCATTATTCTCCCTCCTATCTCTTAGCATCCACAAGATGCATCTAGTTTCATCTGTTGTCATTTCTAGAGCTGGCTTCATCTAGAGCTTACCAAAATTTCCTAGTTTCTTATTTTCTTTCTGTTGTGCCTCTCCAGGAACTCTCCTGAAGAGAGATGTCAGCATCTCTGGACAACCTTGTCCTAAGCAGGGAAGCTGCATGGCTCCTGGTTCCCAACCAGGAGCAAAGCAAGGCTGATTTTTTACCTGATCTCCTAAAACACTGCTTCTTCTCTTCAGCCCTCCCAGAGCCATTTGCTTCTTGCTCTCTAAGTAAGCCCCTGCCAGGACTGCCCTGGCTTTCACATGCAACAAGTATTAAGAGCACCTGTAGGACTCCCAAGGGCTTGATACCATGGCAGTCACAGATGCTCGGGAAACCCAAACCACTCCTCTGACATGCAAGGCAGAAGAGTCTCCCTTGGGCAAAACGGGGGAGTTTTGCTAATCGTTTCAATGAGCTCTGTCTGCACACACCATGTGGGGAAAGCACGAGAGAAGATTACTACACCGCAGCTCTAGCGTTGGAGCAGAAAAGCAGGATACGGGAGAGGAAGCAAGACGTGAGCCTTTCTTCCCCCAGGCACCACAACCCTGCCCCGCAGAAGAGTCCCCGGCACAACTCCGAGCCCCTACACCCATCGAGTCCCATCTGCGGGGCACCGGAAGGCCTCGCCGCCCGCTGCCGCACTCCGCAGCGCTGCTTTTTCCTCTACTGCCCCCCGGCGGTCGCCGGCCCTCCCGGCAGTCGCGCCCCACTCCGCCGGAGCCGCTTCAGCCCCGTCGCTCCTGGCCCTTGCTCCTCCCTTCCCAGCCGGTTGTGGGGTAGCGGTGGGCTCGGAGGCCGCCCTACCGGCTTGGGTTAATGCCTCGGCCCCCAGCTCTAGCAGTCATTTAAAAATCAGAGTATCAAAAGAGCTGAGCAGTGTGTGCATACCTGTCACCCTGGCTGCATGCCTGACTCCAGGAGACACCCTTCTCACGGAAATGGACTGGAGTTTTTATTTCCTCGTGCACGGATTTAGTCTTTCCCTCACAGCGGAGACTCCAGCAGAACTAATCTAAACGCTTTTGTAAACACAACTGTCTTCAATATACACCTCGTTTTCTGTTGTGCTAAGACACACATAATGCATCTCTTTTAACAGGCAGCTGAAATGTCCAGGCAGATTACAATGAGCTCTGAGTTACACTTCTCTGCTGTACCAAGGGGAATACATGCAGACTTCCTTGAAATTGAATGGAAGGAATAAATGGAAACGATTTTGTTAACATTCCCTTTTCATTGCATTGCCTGAAGTCAGCGGTGCACTGAGAAAGGTCCTTGTCACAAACGATCATCGTTTTGCAGCAGTCATCTGTGTGCTGAGCTCTGCCCCCTCTTCAGCTGTTAGATATGCTCTTGTAAGACACTGATTTAGCCTGCTTGATTCTATACGCATGATATAAAAGAAGAGGCATTCTGCTGAAGAATTGGCTGCATAATCTCTTTTCTTATCCACCGACCAGCACGTGCCAGAAGTGTTCTTCCACTTAACTGTTTTCTTGCAGTTAAATTGCTTCATCCATACAAGGTCCTCCAGGATCTGCCATCCCTGTGTTTGTGTATATGGACCTGCTTATCTTACACACTGAGGCAGCTGAGTTTGGTCAATCTTCTTTGCTCCATTATGAGTACCCAGGAAGTAGGCAGGACTTGCTGTAGCAGGAATTGGCGGTGCACTGCCCTGCTCTGAAAACAAACAAAGCTGAACTGAGGGTGGTTACTAGTACTGGTGCTCTGAGCTATCTTCTGGATGCAACCTTGTAGTGCCGTGGACAAAATACCCCTTGGCTTCAGCAGAGATGGGCCCATGAGAACATAGTATTCTGCACTGAATGGAGGAGAATATAATTTGGTAGTGAAGTAACTCACCCTGAGCAGCACAGGAAAACTATTCTTACAAGAGTGCAATGAAAACAAGAAGAAGAAAGAACAGAGATAAAGCAAATGGGACTTATGAATATATATGTATTATGAGTATGTCAGACCTTGTCTATAAAGTATTTGCTGAAAGGAAGCAGAAGAAGCAATCACTATTTTGACTTCAAACACTTCAGCGCAGGTAATTTCCAAAGGTTTGAACCAGCACTTGGAACAGTGGTATCCTAATCCATTTTAGTTTGGCCATTAAATAGCAGCAATTACAATTCTCCTCTGCACATCCCTCTGGGCATATTCAAAAATGACTGCAGATATAAATATTATTGAAAATCTCTTCCTATTCTAACATTTTTGCCCATCTTCTTGGCATATTTCAGCTCCTCACCAAAGATGTGAAGCAGCGGCTGGGCTGTCAAGGTGAAGGTGCAACAGAAGTGAAGAGGCACCCTTTTTTTAAAAGCATGAATTTCAAGCGGTTAGAAGCAGGAATGCTGGATCCTCCCTTTGTCCCTGATGTAAGTACGATAGGCGGGACACGCACTGGCCTATTTCAAGAGAGTTGTTTCCAAAACTTATCTTTTTTAGAAATGTCATCACTATATCTATGGGTACCAGACCTAGGAAGATGTGATAAGCAATAGGGCTGGAGATGGGAGGCTGGAGTGGAGAGCTGCTCCATAGACATGGGTGCATGCATGGTGGTTGGGTCCCTATGAAGGGTGTTATCCTGGGTCTTGCTTCATTCCCGCTAACTTTACAGTCTTCCTGTATGATACTGGAGGCACCACTTGTAGCACTCGTGCCTCAGTTCCCGAACTTTAAACTTGGAACCTTTCTGCTCCCTTGTCTGCAGTATTAGTGAGAGAATGAATATGTTTAGGACCAGACTGTGCAAGGAAAAATCACTGGTGTAAGCCATGAGAATACATATAGGTATATAGATACGTATACAAAGGTAAGATCAGAATTATAAAGTCCAAAGCTCTAAAGAGCTGAGGAATGCATGGGATTCTTATTAAAAAAAGACATTTGTTACAAAAAATCAGAAGCAGGTTCAGATATCAAGTGTCTCCTCAGGCAGAACGCTTGGACCTGAGACAGCGTTCTGAACTTGCTAGTGCTCATGGGGAATATAACCCAACACTGAGTCCTTACCTATATTCCAATCTTGCACATACTGAAAGTCTTTGTTGCATTGGTAGTAAGAAAACTTTTTCCACCCTTCTGTGGTACAGCTCTCTACCCCAGTGCACAGAGTTATCTGAGTATTTTCCTCCTGCAGGGCTTTCTTTCTGGCTAGGCCTCCTGTCTTAAAAGTTCCCATACGGTTCTAAGGAAACACTGCCATTTTAACATATTAAGAAAAGTAACATCTTGGCAGCTCTCATTCACATTGCTGCAAACTCAACCAAACCAAAGTGGTTTAAAAGCTACAAAAGTTTACTTTAGCTGCTCTGGTTTTGCTTTACGTTTTACTATGTGGCCTAGTTATTCCTGCCAATTAGCCCATGGTGTTATGACCTGCTTTAGTGGGAAGAAATAGGAGACAAGCTACTATTTCTTTCTGATGTAGAAAATTAGAAAATTCTGGGCTGCAATTTGGGATTTGCCAGAGTGTATTAAAAGCTTAACTGTGGCATGTAAGGCCCAGAAGGCACCTCTTAGAGACATATTTGCTGAAGCCGGGGCGCATAAATTTTTATGGCTATTTATTGGGAACTCAGGAGCTGGCCCTAATTTAAATTATCTGGCACTTCATCCATAGATTTCCAAGTATTTACTGAAGTCAGATGAATTGCCCAAAGCTACATAGCCAATGGCAGAAGTTGTAATCTAACCCATATTTCTCCATCCTCTTCCAGTCTTCCATGTCTCCACAAAAATGCTGTGGATTGCAGTCATCAGAAAGGCAGAGGGATGCAGCCTCCAGCAGATAGGACTTTCATCAGGAGTTAGTTTGATTTGTTGGTCACAGTGCTCAGCTCCAGATAAAATACTGCATTCAGCCCACTGGTCTTGCAGTCACTGTACCCTGTGTTGACAGTACAATTCAACCTGTTCTTGATTTTGGTGGTTGGGCTAGTTCCTCAAACCAGCCCTCAGTGATTCCTGTGCACCAAAATGTAGCTCTGTGTTGCTAATGGAAGCTCTCTAAGCACACAAATGACCACGCTATATCAGGTAGCTAGTGATGACTTTTTCTGTTTTCTATGGCTGACTGATGGAATATAAGCTAAAAGAGCATCACTGCAAAGTTTCCTGCCTGTAATCCCAGAAAATTAAGTAGTTTTAAAAGGTGAAGCCATTTGACTATTTATTTGAAGAAATGCAGCCAAGCTAAAAGAGTTAATAGAGGTGATTCTGGACAGCTTCCAGCAGCTGAGCTATTAATAAAAACAATGGAAAAATGCCAAACCTCGTCTGTTTTCTTTAGCAGTTGGAATACATTCCTTTAAATTTTTAAACTGCAAAACCTGCAGCTATCTGAGCAGAACACTTCTATTTGAGGTCCCTTTTCAGAGCTGTCTCCAGTATGTCACTCAATATTCTGTTATTCCATCTCTAAAAAATGTACTGAAGGATTTGATTTTTATTTTCTTGCACTTTCTGTCCTTTTTCTCTCACCTCTTTGCCATATGCTATATGGATGACTAAAACCCACTTTGGCTGCACTGATGCTTTAAAGACTTCAAAGTGGGACTCTTAACGTGCTTAAAGCAAAATCAGCCTTTGATGATAAACATGCAGGCAGAGCAAGTCTAGAGAAGCAGAATGCAAATAGTCACTTGTTGTGAGTCGTTCTCACTTGTCTGAAACTGGAAAGATTGGTCATGACTGGGAATTACTGACATGGTCAGACTGGGAATTATTCTTTCTCTTGCTGTTTTCTAATTCTTCTGCTGAGATAGCCCAGAGCAGTATACTGCAAGGATGTGTTAGACATCGAGCAATTCTCCACAGTGAAAGGAGTAAACCTGGACCAGACAGATGATGATTTCTATTCCAAGTTTTCCACAGGATCTGTGTCTATTCCATGGCAAAATGAGGTAAGGATGTGTCATAGTAAGATGACTCCAATAAAACCCCTAACAGATGTTTTAAGAGAAGCTATATATTTCTACTAATATATAACTACTGGATAACTTGCCAGACTCTAATGATTTCATGAGTTACAAATGGCCTCTTTCAAGATCTATAATGTACCACAGATGTCAAGTTCAGGTGGCTGTATCTGTTGGCTGTGCATATTTGTGTAAATTGGCAAGGAACCTACTGTACTTCCTTCTCCTGTATTTCTACTGAGGTATTTTGACAGCAGCTCAGAGGAACTTCCACAGGATGGATGGAGGTCCTAATGGAAGCTCCTCCATTTGTGATCCTCATCTCACCTATTGTTCTGAACCTGCAGTAGGTCCACAGCTGCAACAGTATCTGCAGGCTGAATCTTGAATTGTTCCAGGGTTTCCAGATCTGAATCTTTATTTCTATTTGATATGAAAGCAGAATGAACAGTTGGTTTCGTAAATCCAACTCTGCATCAAACAGCAGATCCTCTTGGGGAGAGGGGTGCCCACAGGCATTTTGTGGGTATGCCTGAATTTACCTAATATTCTCCACAGTAGTAAAGAATATAATGGAAAGTTATGTGGGGCAGCACTAGTAAGACTGATGTGCAAACATACAGAGCAGATTCAGCCTCTTTTTCATACCACATACTTACCTTCCATAGCCACCAACAGGAGCTCAACTGTTAAATTTCCTAATATATTTGATGGCAGATAGTGATCCCAATCCTGACTTTGGACAAACTGGTACTTCTGGAATATATTTAATGCAGACTTGTTTCTTATTGTATTACACTAGATGATAGAAACGGAGTGTTTTAAAGAACTAAATGTGTTTGGACCAAATGGTACTATTTCACCAGACCTAAATAAAAGCTACCCCCCGGAGCCACCCAAGAAAGGACTGCTACAGAGAATATTTAAACGACAGGTGAGATATTCTTTTACTAGAATCAGGAACACTGGTTTAGATGGCCAGTGTCACGTCCATGTTCTACTGGTATTTTTGCTGTGACAAAGACAGTAAGTACACCTTAGAGAGGGCTGGCTGTTATGGTTACCTGGCAGCTTCCTGACTAATACTGCATAGTCACAAATTTCCTGCCTATTTCTTGTGATATTTTCTTTAATGACCAGAACCTTTGTTTTTTTTCATCAGCTTTGTTTCCAGTGGCTGAAAACTTCATACTCGAACTATTTTTCAGTGGTCTACTGAAATGCTTTTTGAAATGTTTTTTTATAAGTTCCTTAAAAACTCTTGATTTATGTGTTAAAAAATTCAAAAGCTGAATGACGTAGTCAAGGCTCTAATCCAGGACTCTAAAAAGGAGAGCAAAGTCCAACCAAGACAGTTGCATTAAAAGATCTTAGATGTCTCTTTTGACCTTAATGATTCAATGATTCTGTGAAGTCAGAGAATTTGTGACATACACCTTTGACGTGGCACTGTGGCAAATCCAAATAACATTCCTAGCCTGATTCCTGTATTTCTGTAGCGTAAAAGCTGTACCTCATCATTGGCGGGTAGCCTCTCTAAATCAGATTTAGCAGATACTGATATTTTGCAATGAATTGACTTTACTCCTGGAATTCATGTGTCTCAAGAACTCCCATGGTCCTCCTGACTTAGAATACATGTAAGAAAGTAAAGAATATTTTACACCCTGAGTTCTTCATGCAAAGATCTTACAGGGCATTCAGTGCATTATCACCATCAAATGAAAAGCTTGGCACATTTACAGAAGCTAATTGTCATTTTTTTCATCTTTCTGTAGCATCAGAACAATTCAAAGAGTTCTTCAAATTCGAAGGCCAGTTTAAATCACCACATAAATTCAAATCACGTGAGTTCAAACTCCACTGGAAGCAGCTAGTTCTGACTCAGTTTTATCAAACATTGCGTCCTTCCACTATAATCTATGAAGCTTCTATGGATGAGAGAGCATCCACCACTGAGTGAAAAAAAAAAGAATCTCCCCAAAATGGAGATTTTCTACCCATTCCTTCCAGTGGAGCCTCGCATTTTAAGAAGAAATTTCCACTCAGGTCTGTTTCTGGAGGTGGCACTCAAGACTGTGTGAATCAAATTTGTCTATTTAGAACATTGCAATAGAAATTCAATGAACATGACTACTTGCACGTATTTAAATAGCATCATACTAGAACTGAATTTTGTCTTTATTATTTTTAAAGAAAAGTTTTGTAAATTTCTCTATTGTCTCAGTTTACATTTTGTACATTTGTATTTAAATGAAAGTCAGACTTTGGAGGTGTATATTTTCCAAGCAGCAGCTGTAAAGCCATGTGTTTTAAGACATTTTTTAAAAGAAAAAAAATGTGACTCAAGACTTCCAGAGCCTCAAATGAGAAATCATTCTTTTTAGTGATTCTAGAAAACTGTTCATAAATCACTTTATCAGACTGGGTTTTATTGACATGCATTTTTACAGAACAGGTTATTCTTAATTATTTTACATCTGTATATTTGGTTTACAGCAACACTGCATACGTTTCTCCTCTTCATTAACTTGTAATGTCTTGCATTAAATGCGAAAAGATGCTGACAAGGCTTTGATGTATTCAAGAATACTCCTTGCTATGCCTAAGGTTTGTGATCTCAACAGACCAGCACAGCTGAGATCTGTATTTAACATTGTTAGATCATCATAATATTTTTTTTTTTAGAAAGTGTACTCTATTTTAAACCCTTCTTCACTTTTGTTGTTGTTGTTCTTGTTGTTGAAGTACAAAACTGAGTGAGAGTTGACTGGGAAAGCAAATGACCATTTGTTTTTCAGGGGCTTGAATCCTACACCCACTATGATGAGAGCAAAGCGTTCTCTGTGCTGCGGACAAAAGTCCAAGGCCTTTTCATCACTGCTCATATCAAACAGGTAGCAAGAGAGAAATGCAATAGTCTACTTTTTGCACCATGAGATTCATGTCAGCTCCCTAGGGCTGACCTGTGGAGACTGAGAGTGGGGTCTGAGCTGCTTTAGGGCAGTAGCAGAACCTGTGTCTGCACTTTGTTTTGTCATATCAAACATACATGACTTGTTCCCATCAAATAAGTCCTCAACTTAATTGAATTAAATGTAAGTTATGAAACAAGACTTCCCACTTTTTCTTCCCTCTTTCTTTACCCAGGATCCTTTAACCACTTTTGAAGATGTTATTCCCACTTACAAACAGGATCAGTCAGGATGAGTAGTGGTACCTGAGGCACCTGAATCATGCTCAAGCATCAAAAATACGGTTCCTTCTCTTTCATAGGAACTGGAAAACCTTTGTGCACCCAGTGAGGTCTCTGTAGCCCAGCATGTTCTGCAAAAGAGGGTTCTTCACCTCACAGTATTCACCAGAGGAGACTGATAAGTTCACCCTTGGGTCAGTGAGGAACATCTGATGCTCGTCTTGACATGTCTAAAGCCACGTTAGCTAGCAGCACAGTTACCCCAGGAAGCACTGTTCCAGTAAATGGCCAAGGTTCATTAGATTATTCATTTTATATGTTATGTTCTATAACTCTGGCCAGCGCAGAAGGGTTAAAAAAAAATGCAGGTTAGCAGTGACAAAGCTATGAGTGATAGTCACAGGAATCAGATGTTAAAACAACTTGAAGACACGAGGGAGAGAGTTAGATCAGGGTCAGGATTTGCATAAAGCAGCCTACAGAGGAAAAAGTTAAGGAAGGAAGATGGGGCTTTGGTGCCTTTCTCTGAAGTAAAATACATTAAGATGCAAGTCCATACCATTACAAAATCCTCCAGTTTTCCTGGTCACTAGTAGATATGCAGAAAGTATGTGAGAAGATCACCAAGAATATGTTCCTGTTTTTTCTTCAGGTCAATTTGGCAGGGAAATTCCTTTTCCCATATAGATGGTGCTCAGGGAGAGCTTCAGCTACTCTCCCATGTCAGATGATGGCACTGAAGATCTTATACAGTAGATACAAGGTTGTAGAGAAACAGTAACAAAGAGAATTTTGAGTAACTTTCTAATCAGCTATAAACTAAAAATATAATGGTTTCAGCTTCTCAACAGGAGAGGAATTAATACTGTAGAAATGAAAGCAGCTGTGCACAGGGTAGACTATTACCTCCAATTCCATTCTCACAGCCTGATGTAGAGCCACCTAAGTCTGCAAGATTAAATCACCTTGGCATGAAAATACACTTGCTCCAAGAGATTTTCGCAGACTTTCTTCAATACACGTGGAATTTCACCTGATTTGAAGATATGTAGATGAGAAGTAGAGGAATATATCATAACCAGACCATGGATACATATGAACCTGAAACAAGATGCATATCTTTCATCTTAGACAGATTTAAGGGTTTTGCAGCTCAAATCTATTTTTATCATTCTCAGACATCACTTTCTAGTAGCATTGCATACTGTAAGTTTGTGCACCCTCAGCTGGCTTCATCCTCTGCACTGATGCTAGGAAAGGGTTGCTGGATGGGGAACTAGAGTGAAAGCCTAAGTTCTTCTCTCCATTACCATCATCTCACTTCACAGCAACAGACAAGCACATTCTTTCATCAGAAAAATATGGCAGATAATATCTACCTATCCCACGATGGGGAAGAAAAAATGACAGCTGAGGGAAGTCTTGGCCCCTTAATATTTCATAACATAAATTTGATAAGACTGCAGATGTCTTGAAAGCTTCATTTCCTATGTGTGATCAATGTGACACATGAAGACTGAATTTTCTGTTTTTTTTACCATCATCCATTTGGGAAATACAATCCCGATAATAATAAAACCTTTAGTGAAAGCTGGTGAGCAAATTGAAAATAGATGTAGATGGTGTTATAGCTCTTAGATGCTATCAGCCTTAACTAGTGGTGGATGACTTCTTTATATGACAACGGGGAATGACAACAGATGTGCCTTCCCTGCTCTCCTTTCAGCTGGGCCTGTTCCTTACTCAGCATTTGGGACTCAACAGTAAAGACAAGAACAATGCAAAGTCCTCAGATGACAACAGCTGCATTCAGCTGATACTTGGAATTTATTATGCTAGATTGGTATCCTGAACCTTCAGGATCATGTGGGACAAGGACGCTTATGCACACCTGAAGAGTCAAGCCAGGGACTAAGTCCCTTTGGATCCCAGCCCTTTGGAAGCAGTGAGAGGGTAAGAGGAGAGACAGAGAACAAGAGCAGCCGAGGGAGATTTCATGCTGCATCCCTGTTGCTATCTTTTGTGACAAACTTTGAACAGTATTACGATGCTTAATCAGCAGAAGTCACTCAGTATCCCTGAAAGATTTAATCTTTACATCATTACATTATCATTAGTGGTAATGAGCAGTCCTACGAATCTTCTGGTCAGGGTTTGCCTACGTCAACAGAGCCTGCAGGATTGTCTTTTCATTGCTGATTTCTATTATTATTTTTGAAGTAATTGTTCAACTCCTCAGACGCACAATACAGTCCTCTCACTCCTATAGAGTGACCATGAGGACACACAATTCAGGGCTGAAGCCCTGCTTTGCTTCCAGAGACATTTGTCATTTGCCTCTGAGCCAAATTCAAAAACACTGGGAGCCACAGATGTTCAGCAGATCTCAAATAACAGAGTTATAATTTCATTTTACAATCTTGGAGAGCATTTGTAGGGGGATTTCTAGTATTTTGATTCAAAGTGAATAGTTTCTGATGTGGGTTTGCACATAGCAAAGGAGCAGGAAGTAGTGGTTATTTAATAGCTTTCCAAATCTATTAATTCTCTGTCTTCTTTTCAGTTACAGTATAGATTCTTTCAAAAAATGCAGAAGTTCGGGTCTAGCTGCTTGATTTAAGTAGACAGATGAGCAAACGAAGCTCATTTTAAGAATCAGAAATCTTTTGCATCTAACCCTGAATTGTACAAGCATCTTCTTTATCTTTAAATCTTTACTAAGTAATTTAATGAACAGTTACCAGTTTGCACACTTTTTGATACAGATGAACATTCATTGTGTATAGTGTCTCTGTAGAAGAATTAAGTCTTCTAGAATTTTTCCATTCTCTTGTTGTATGAAAGCTTTTTTAAACAAAGAAGTAATGAAGGTAAAGTAACAAATACAAATTTAGCAATAGGACTAGAGGGAATGGCCTCAAGATGTGCCAGGAGAGGGTCAGGTTGGATATTGGGAACAATTTCTTCTCCAAAAGAGTGGTCAGGCACTGGAACAGACTGCCCAGGGAGGTGGCTGAGTCACTGTCCCTGGAGGTTTTCAAGAAAGATGTAGACGTGGTACGAAGGAGTGTGGTGTAGTGGAGGAATAATGGTGGTAGGAGGATGGTTGGAGTAGGTATCTTGAAGGTCTTTTCCAACCTTGGTAATTCTATAATTCTAAATAATAATAAACCCTTATATGTACACTCTTGATCTGGATTATCTAAAAAAAGATTTTTGCAAAAATGGATATGACTTAGATTGCTGAACAAGAACCTGCTTGTGAAGCTGGTAAAGGTGCGAAGATAATTGTACCAGTTACTGCAGATCAAACTGAATGTTACTGAAAGGCAGAGCTCAATACTGCAGTGATTAGAGATGCCTGCTAACTGGCAGTTCAGGGACAATGCCAGGTATCCATAAGAACAATTTGATCCCATCTTGTTTTGCAGTCATCCCTTCCACCAGCAACTATGGCAAAGAGTGCCATCGGCAGTTGCAGATCATTCTTTGCTGACACAGTGAAGTGTCTGATTCTCAGGCACTCATTCTTAACTTTGTTCAAGTAGAACTCAAGTTCTAACTTTAACTTTTTGCTTCCTCTGTCAAAGCCTAAGAATTTAAATCCAACTTCTCAGCAGAGATTCAGCTTCAGCTGACAAGAAAAGCATCTTTAATATTAATAAAACCATGAAAAGAACAAGGAAGACAGAAAGGGTGTGAGCTCTGGAGTACAGGGTGAAAACCACCTTTATGTGTGTATCTTTGGCATGTGTCAAATGGCAGTTACTATCACACATCACAGCACGTTCTTCCTTGTTATCAAATGTTATTTATAGTTTTTTTCGATAACCTTGGAATAGCATACACAAACTCATATTAAAGATGGGGTTGAGCCCATGGCTTACAGTCAGTGTCAGCTCTAGGAGGAGGGCTGACACAACAGTTTGAACAGAAAAGGAGGTACACATTCAGCCTGTGGCAACAGCCATCACATAGCTCTGCATTCGCACATGGCTGAGCCTCAGCCAGGAGTTTCCTAAGTAGACTTTTCTGGAAAAGCAATAAATGCACACCCTTATGTACATCCTTACAGCACGTCTTCTCATGGATATATATGGAACAGGTTGCTTCTCCATAGCTGTGATTTTTTTTTTGTTGTTCAGATTTACAATTTGTTAGATTGTAAATGAAATAATTTGTTAAAACATTTCTAAGCATTTCCCATGCAGTCTTCGAATAGATTGGACTTTGCTTGATAGAACATAGCCAGGTTGCTCTGTTCTTCAGATGCAGACCATCTTCTTTCACATGCATAGCAAGAAGCACAAAGTGGCCTACAGAAACTCTACAAGTTCAGAGTAAAATTTATAATACGTGGGTAACGGGTGCCAACCTCACATAAACACCACTTGGACTCCTTGTCTGTCACTGCTGTAGAGAAATCTGGCAGTGAATGAAGTGGGATCCAGAGACTTAAAGGCTCTCCTGCCTGAAGTTGGTCCCAATTCTGTCTCAGGCTCCAAAGAGATGCATTTGGCAGTGATGTTTGAGAGAATCTGTTCAATGACTTTGTTCAGTACCTCCAAAGAAAAAAGATAATTCTGGAATTGTCTGTCAAGCCTTCCACAAATATGTCTTGCAATTTAAAACACTACAATTTTTTTTTTTTTAAAGCAAGAGTAGTCATGTGTAACAATCTTATGCTAAAGCTGAAGGACTACGAAAGTTTAAAACAATTTCTCACTTTCTTGTGCTGGGTGGGAAACAGTCTATTTTAGATATACTAAATAGTATTACTTATATCATCCTGGCTGGTGATAACATTCTGTCCTTAGCTGAAAAAGAGGGAGAAACTGGTCCAGAGAATATTGCAGTATTATTTTTGTCTTTAGGAAAACTACCAACAAAGAAAAAAGCCCACATTATGCTACAGTATTATATGCTCACTTCCCTCAGACTTCTCTCGGATAAAGCAAATCCAAACTGCTGCAGATGAATCAGCCTAGAAAGCATGCTGACAAATGGGTTTTATGAAAGAAATGATTTGAAACAGATTGTTGCCGATGTACTAAGATGAATGTTACTGCTTGCGTGAAAGTATTCTCCTTGTTTGATGTACCTGGAGCCAGCAGTGGTGGATTTTGTTCCTACTGTGTTCATGTTTTACATCACTGCCCTGGAGGAGCCTCTCTGCAATTTTGCTTTCCCATTTTTAAACATGGAGAGATGCTCCCTATCTGTCGATAGAAAGCACTAGGGAGTCTGTGCACAAAACAGATCAGTATCAACCCTTTGTATTATTTAAGTGAAATAGATTTAATGTAGCTGCTCTTATTTACATGGCATGGGAGATGACTCTTGTAAATAAGGGCTTTTTTATTGCTGGTTTGTCTTAGTTCCTTAGAGATATTGAAAAAGAATGCACTTCACTTCTGTAAAGTCATCTCCAACAAAAGATGAGAATCCAATGCAAATGTTGAGGTATTAATTTCTTTTTTAAGTGCTAGCTAGTAATTGCAGCATTCAGATGAACACTTCCTCTTTTTTATAATGGAAAGACAAAGTTAAGAGGAAGAGGACAGAATAACTCTCACTGGCTCAGTGTCACAATCTTTCTCTTTTTTGGCCAAGCCTGCAAATAAATTTGTAGGTGCCAATTCAGTGAAATGCTGTGTGAAGTCACAAGGATGCAAACATCAGGTCAGAGGCGACCACATTGCTGGGATCAGCAGACTCCAAAGGGGACCTCCGTGCTTTCTGGAAAATCAGTGGTCCTGTAGAGAAGATTAACTCCCAGAAAATGAACTTTTCAGGTAGTGGCTGGATGACAAATATGTATATCTTTCTCATCTCCCAAATACATTAACTAGCAAGCTGAAATGGGTTATTTCTCACGTATGAATGCGGTCTCCCTAAATTGCATTTCTTTTCAACACTGGACACTCTTCTGAAAGACTTAACATCTTAGCATTATGAAGGTGAAAGTTGTAAAAACTTTATTTTGTGTTTCTGAGCAATGTAGATAGACCTAAAGATTTCATGAATTATCACGTGGTTGCCCATATCTGACTAATAATTAAATTGTAAATTTGCAGTTTCATACTAGGGTTAGTCTTTTCACCTGCTTCAAAAAACTAAAAGTCATATTTGGTATATAAACACACAGAATATCTTTCTGATTGAATTTCAAGAGCATATTCAGGATTAAATGTTTTTAAGCACTTCTAATACTGTAGTCTATAAGAGGAGCAGACACTTCTAAAGCAATGTTTAAAGTTGTCTTTCATAACTGAGTCAACAGATCATTTTTGTAATAAATTCAAGCAAGTGTTCTCAACTAGAAGAACTAGTGGCTGTTGGTATTGTACAAAAAATCATCCTAGTATCCAAAGGGTTAGGGGTGGGGAGGGGCTGTTTGGTTTTGTTTCTCTTTCCAGGGAGATCTTTAACATTGTTTGATGAAGCTAGTTTCATTTGAGATTGTTATTGAAGATAAAGGCTTCTGTGTTCTATGGCTGCTTGGGTTCTTCGTACATAATGTCCTAGTAATGTCACAGTGCTGCTGTATCTAGATCAAACCACTGTTTTAATTGTTTTTTGGCTTTCGTTTTTTTTTTGTTTGTTTTTTGTTTTTGTTTGTTTTTTTTTTTTAAATAAATAATTTAAATACTTGAAAACTATATGTATTGCTTTAATGAGGCGTATAATCATCTTCCTTAATTCCTTGGGGTCTTGAAGATGACTTCATTGAGAGTGGAATATGTTTCCAAAATACTATCCTTTTTATTTTCTATCTCACCTTATCTTCATGGAGATTAAGGGAACTGGAAAACAAACCCCGGAGTGCATATTGCTTTGCAGAAGTTTATATTCTCATCTGAAAGCAAGACTGTGTTTTCCCTGAGATCTCCTTTCCATGCCTTACACCCTTACACCCCCTGCCTTCCTCTGCAATGTGAACTGTCACCAACACAACTCTATGGCCTTAAAGACAGGTTCAAGGAAAGAATGATGCAGTCACAAGTAGGGATGGAGGCTTCAGAAGATACAAACTATTTTTCGAAGCTGAGTGCTGTCCGGTTTATGAAGGCCTATAAAGAATGTTGTCTAAGCTTCAATTAGGCTGAGAGAAAATGTTTGGAGAAGGAAATGACAGTGACCATCGGAATGTGCTCTTCAGTATTCTGTACGTGAAGGATTTAAAACAAAGGCAAAGAGTAGCTACAAAATCACTAGCAGGAAGGTGGTGCAGTGCTTTTTCTGTATGAGAAATGATAGACATTTTTCAAAGAGAAAAAATATTTTTACAAACCTGCAAATGGCAAACAGTGTTTGCGTTGTTTCACAAGAGAACATTGTGAAAACAGATTATCTGCATAATTGCATGAAAGCAGCAGCTACACCCAACAGCTGTACTCACTAAAACCTAAGGAAATAGACTACATAAATTCAGGTCATGCATATCATCACTTTCCAAACAAACCCAAGCCATTTTTCACCAGATTTGAAAAATCTGGGCAAATGTCAGATGAAGTCTTATTACTTCTCTAACAGTTCTTGGTGTTCTTTTCTCTCTGTATCCCCATGTCCTTTCTACAGGACAGCAACGTCTAGCTCCACTCTCTCTTCAGAGATGTAATCTTCCTTAGACTTCACTTTCTCTGGCATGAGATGTGCAGCTTCTCAGAGGAAAGTCATTACATTATTTTGAAAGAAATCCAATTAAAAAAAAAACATGTCAACTTTTTGAATCTCTTAGAGGTTTTCACAGATGAAAAATACCATAAATGGACCAGACACTGCAATTTGAAGTGTACGGAGTGCTTCTGGGAGACAATACAAATTTCTGCCAAGTCTGAGTCTTGATTGCTGCATTTTGTAATTCTTTTTCATATTCAGTATACCATAAAAGTAAATAAAATAAAATAAAATGAAAATAGGGCCTGTTAACAATTAGTGCTCTGATTAGTCATGAATAGAGAAGGGA